CATTGCAATCAGAAATTAGGCAGATAGCTGAGAGAAAGCAAATGCTTCTGTGATTTCTCCATCAGTATTTACTGAACGGTCATTTGCAATTGGCAACTAGTTGGAGTCGCCATCCTGGTCAGTTGAGTCTAGTTGGTCTAGACAGTGGGTGTCCTCACCTCCAGCCCCTGTTACGTGGCTATCTTTATTGAACCATCTTCTCTGCACAGTTGCCATGAGATGGCACTATGGGGATATGGATGGTCAAGTTTGCTTTTCTCCCACTTATTGCTGTTCTTTCAGGCTGAAAGCAAACTGGAATAGTTTTTATTTAATTTTATTTTTTAAAGTTTTGTGCTTTTTAAATATTCAAGAACTTCAATGATAAGAATATGTATAAGGGAAAATGACATGCATATGAAGTTTAAGATACATTTTTCATAGTTTGAAGGGCTTTTAAATGATTAGAAAATTGAGACTTAAAGGAGAAATTTTTTTAAATTTCTCTTATTATTCATCAATTTAGAGCTAACCTTGCAAATACATTTTGGATGCTAAGATATAGAGTAAATAAGTTGATTGGGGAACTCAGTGACCTTCATGATATAAATTATTCATGCCATTATAGGTAGCATATATTCCTTGCTATATATATATATATATCACAGTTGCAGCATTTTTACATTTATGTTATACAGAGGAGTGAAATCTAATTGTTTTTTTGTTTCCTCTCATTTTGTCTGTTGTTAACTCTTTTGTGGCTTTTCAAATAATGGATATAAGAATGACTCTCATTGTCTTCCAAGCAATAATTTGTGAATTTCAGGCATTTGGAGGAAAGAGGCAATATAGTTTAGTGGAGACAAACCTGTGTTCAAATTCTTTCCTGCTCTTTCCATCCAGTCAGCAGACATTCTCATTTTACTTATGTATATAAACCATGCAGCGTGACAAATGGTGGAAGCTTCATCAAATCTGGTTTCCCATCCTCTGTCCTCAAGCTTCTTGGGAAAAGGGACGTAATGAGGCATAGGGTTATGGGTAACACAGACCCTAAAAATGTATGGGTGCTTTTGGAGTAGGATTGCTGTGGCAATGGAGATGCTTTTGTTCACTCTCTAAGATCTGTATTTCAGATTATTTTTCTGATCAAAGTAAAATTTTTAAGAAAGGAAGAGCTGGAAGTTAAGAATTTTAACATTATTTCTAGATGAAGTTATATTTACAGTCATTGAGATACAGAAAAAGGGTTGAAAGACTTTCATTGTAGAAGTTGAACACTTTGTTCCTGTAGTGGGTGTCAGAGCCTGTAATGCCCATGAATTAAAGCATTTTATTAATCCTGTGGGGTAAACAATACCAGTCTTGGGTTTCTACTGGCACTATTCTTGTTAGTGATGGCCAGGAGATATTGTGACTACAGGTATCTAGTAGGCTCCCCAGTCCACACTGCCCAGGCATCTTCCACTGAGTGGTGGGTCGTGGTTTAAGTAAACATGAAAGGAACCTTAAAGACATTGGGTCCCTTTGCAAAGTCAGCACAGGGCTCTGGACCAGCCGGGAAGCCTCAAAGGAGACCAGTACTCACAGCAGCCTGTTCAGATAATTTTAATGTGTGTGTCGTTTTTATTATTTTTTTTTGCAGTTAAAATCCAAAGATTGATGCAAAATTCAAAATATTTATATATAAATTCTTGGCTAATCATTCCAGCTCACTTCCGGTCTCACTGGAACTCCTAATTTCTTTTAAACCTCTTTCTGGCTTCCTACCTATAGCCATTTGGAGTGTAGCAAATATGCTTTTGTTCCTCCTTCTCTTCAGTTTGCACTTCGATGATTCGAATGTTTTTAGATATGATGGGTATATGTCTCCCACTAATGAGAATGGACAGAGTTGTCTCCTATACCCTGATGATTTCCTGTCATAGAAGTGGCCTCAGTAGAGAGCTAGTCCTGCTAGATTATTACCTTATTAATAATAATAATAGCAGCTTAGGATAAACTACCCTAAAACAAAAGTAGTCATTTGTATCCAAAGCTCTCTAACATTGCAGTGACTTAAATCCATCATTATGCAGAAGGCCAGTTCATGTGCTTCCCAAGGGTAGTTTTCAACTACATTTGTTTTGTAGTGCTCATTAGGAAGTTATATTGTTTTATGGGGGTGATATTTAGATTTTTTTCAGCTACCTCAACAGAATTAATGGCAATGTATCATCTGAAAAATGTCCAGATTAAAGTCTTTGTATCAAATCTATATTGTAAAAAATTCATCACGTGTGTGTGTGTGTGTGTGTGTGTGTGTGTGAGAGAGAGAGAGAGAGAGAGAGAGAGAGAGAGAGAGAGAGAGAATATGTGTCTGGAGAAAATTTTTTGTTGGTTTCTGAGGAAAATAATGGCCTGGCTTTAGTCCATCTTTCAGCAAAAGTGGAATGACTATCCATTGAGATAAAAGACTTAGACAGACTTCAAAATATGATAAAAATTCCAAAGCATTCATTGTTGTGTTGCTTCTTAAAGCATGTGAATTTGACATTAGCAACATGAAACGTCCCATGTCTAAAGTGTGTGTGTGTGTGTGTACAAAGATGTCTTGCATAAGGGGGCACAGATCACATTGTAGACAGAGGCTAACTTACATGGGAGCTTGTGGTGGGAGCTGAGGTTCCAGGGTTTCTAGCTGGAAGGGAGAGCCCCTTCCTACATAAACCCACCATGGCCCCACAGCCTTGTACATGCAGCAGAGCGCGCACCCACAGGTAAACACGTATGTCGTGGCTGCACTCCATCTCCAACCACTCCCTGGGGTCTCCTGAGGTGCTTCTCTATCTCCCTCACAGCTCCAACTCTGAATGTGACACCGTGTCCTCACCTGGAGAGTAGGCAGGAGGGAGCAGAGGATACTTTCTGATGGTGACAGGTGTGTCTCCTCACATGTGCAAAGAGGACAGAGTGGCCCCATGTGTGCACACAGGCTGTGCTGCTGTCCAGTGGGGTCTGGGAATGGTCTCATGGCCAGAAAAATTCAGGTTGTGTAATAATAGACTAACTTAAAAACGTTTTACTTGAGGAGGGGTTATCTTTTTCTGATACACACAGAAATACGGTATGAGCTAGCAATAGCCTTAGAATAAGCTAAAATTAATATCCTTGGTGCCCAACCTTGAGCAAAAGCACAGTTGTGGTAAATCATACTCTTGAATGCCTACAACATGGAAATGTGGCCAGTTCAGTGCTCTAGGCCAGATGGTTTTGAGTTGTGTCCAGTAAGGTCCCAAGGTTTTTATGAAATATTCTAACAGTCCCTTGGGGACAAAGAGTCGAGCAGGAGAGCCCTATTTTATTTCAGCAGGAGCCCTTCACTTGTATGCTTCTTGATATTGGTATGCAATACAGAAGTTTGAAGAAAAGCTTTTGGTTGCTTATCCAACTATTCTCTTCATCCCTGCATCAAGGCATGTCCTCCGAGAGCTGTATACTTGAACTTCATTGCTTGACTCCTCATAGAATCAGTTTTACTGATTTGTACTTTGTCTCTGTAACTGTGGAGTGTTCTAGGAGTGCCCTGAGACTACACCATAGACACCTTGCCCTTGTCTCTTTTATTGGTGAACATCATCTCTATTTATGAGGACTCTTGGGGTAAATTCCATCAGTGCTTTTGAGTAGGCTCATAGCTTCTTCAAAAGCAATAATAATAATAAAAAGAATAGGTAATTTTTTCCTACGTACTTGGAGGCTATGGTAGCTACTTCATTTCTCTGGTCACTAGGAAGCGCACAGTCAGATATTTAGAGGTAATAACTTCTACCCTTGATATCTTTTTATGGTTCAATCATTTTATCCCTTTCTCCCAATGCGTCTTGATGTATTTTGCTAACACATATATTGTGGCAAGTTATTTCAGGTCTCCTGAACTCCAGGTAGAATTTTCTTTTTATCTTTTGGAAAACTCTACCTGGATATGCTGTAGGCACATCAGACTTAATATTTTCTAAGGGGAATTCTTGTTGTCTTCCTTTTAAAATGTGCTTCTCTTCCTGTTTCTTTGGTAAAAGGATCCCATGAGTCCAGTCATCTAAGCTTGCCATCTTGCTTTCCTTTTTATCTTCTCTTTCTTACATCCCATCCAAATCCTTTTAATCCAGCCTCAGCCCTACCTGTCAAATCTCTCCTGATTCATCAATACCTTCCTGGACTAGTTCACTAGATTCCTAACTGGCCTCAATTTCTCTGATAACACCCGCCACTAATCCGTTATGCACACTGATATCAGTTATTTAAAAGTCATTTGCTCTCCTATAATTCTTATTGCTATTTACAGAATGAAGCCCAAATCCCTCACATAACATTCAAGGCTCTTTATAATTTGCTCCCCAGCCATTCTGAGTCTCATCTCCGTCCATTCCTCCCTCCACTTTTGTGCCTTTCACAGCATCCCCTGGACCACTAGCAGCCTCAACCACAAAATTCATTTCAGCACCTAGTACTCTGGGCCTGAAAGGTGCTTCCTGCTCCTTGAAGCTGTTATGTTTCCCTAAACGTCTTCTCCAATATTCTTTTGTATCACATTTCTCTCCCTCTTTCTCATTGCAGAATTCATGGCCACCTCCTCAATCTTTCCATCTCACTTTCTTAATACTACTGTTAGAGCATTCCTTGCCGTATTTTGGACTTTGTTGTGTATGTGTATCTTTCTCCCCAAATCGTGAGCTCCTCAAGGAGTTTGGTTGAATAGAAGGTGGGAATATGCTAGGTATCTGCCAACCCTGCTTTTAAAAATCACAGTAAACTGAGTGAGGGACTATGGAGTTTCTAGAACTGATAATGCCTTCAATGGGTAAGGATTGAAAACATGGCTAATTCACTGCTGACCTGAAAATGTTAATATATGTACTTTCTTTATGGTAATGGAAACTTTGTAATGCCCTCATGATAAAGGTTCTAGTGATCCAGGTAAGGTTTTATAATTTCTGTACAGAAGAATCTTATCTGACTTGCTTTTTTCTTTTTTCTTTTAGGAATAGGCAAGTCAAGAGGCTGAAAACCTGAAGAATGTTTCCAAGGGGTAATCTGGTTGTCACTCACTGGGTATGGAGGGACATGAGGAAGCTATTTCTATTCCTTTCTCTCTTGCTGTCCCATGCAGCTCATTTGGAAGGCAAAAAGGATAATCAATTCATCTGGAAACCAGGTAGGAATGTCCTGGCTGTTCCTTTGTCCCATTCTCATTAATGAGAAGAAAATTCTTTCCATCCTTGTTCTTTTTTGTGGAACAGGGAGGGACATCTAGAGAGGAAAAATACTCTTCTTCATGATAATAAAGCTTACATTTGATTTTCATTCCTGCATAATTGTCACCTCCATCCGTGATGCTTGTTATCTTTCTGAATTTTCACATTGTTGTCAATTAAAGTTATGATTTCCATAGTTACATCTGCTTCTCCTTTGTCAAATATATCACCACCATGCAGTACATTTGTAGCAAAAATGACATCTGAGTTTAGCTGATATCTTCAGCTACAAATGCTCTGGACTAGTTCTATAGTTTCTTCCTTTTAGGGTACAAACCAGTTAGCTATTTACTATTGAATACTTTCTAGTACAGAACCTGAATATCTAGGTTTGAGAGCATGAAAAATTATCCTAACAACTTTGTTCATTAATTGTGATTATAGAGTCATCTTAATGTGTTTTGAGGTCCTTAGCTACCCTGTACATAACTATATGAATAAGTTGAATTGAGGTTTGGAGGCTTGCATATAACTTATGTCCTTCTCTAAATACTTTCTTAATTTGGCTGTGGAAAAGATCTGTTCAATTTAATTTTAAACGCTAATAATTTATTAACTTAAATTATGAACCCCAGACATCTTGGCTGTTTGTAGCACTGATGTTTTTCATTGCTCTAGATTTTAATTTTCTTAACGTTTTACAATCAGATCATTTAACATATTTATTACTGTTTCAAGAGTCCATTCTTGCAAAAACAGATAACTTATATGCTTAATATCTTGGAACTGGAAAATGTGATGTTGTAGAAGATGTACGGTCCTCAAAGAGTTTTCATTTTAGTCTCATCATCTGTGAATTAAATAGACTGCAAATGTATTGTGTCACCATGAAAGTATGTATAAAAGAGATATTTGTAGTATTTAAATGACTTTGCAAAAATGAAAGTAAATTATGCTTTAAAGTATATTAAGTAAAACCCAGCACCATTAGAGATACAGTCTGGAGGAAATTTAATTACATTAAAGCCCCTATAAATTAATTTAATTGTGGGCTTTAATACCACATTAGTGATTTGCATTTTTTAACTCATGGCAGTCTTAGGAAGCTTTGGAAATAGTTCTAAAAGTCAATATTGCATTTCTGTGAATGGAGCTATTTTGTTTCAATCACAAAAGACTAAATCTAAATAAGCACATTTATATGACTGTATTCCTGTCTAAAGTTCTCAAAAAAAAGTGCAATTAAAATGGAAAGTAGCAAATCTGAAATACGAATGAGGTATGTTAAGAAAATGGGCTTATTTTGAAGCAAATTTTAAAAATAGATCTGCTTTTCTACAAGTAGGTCAATGGAGCAAGATGGTACAGACCCACTCACTCTACAGTGGATAAATACTTTGATAACTGTTAACCTTAAGTTTCAGAGCAAGAGTCCTTCCCATCAGACACATCAGACACATTGTGTTATTCAAAATCTGTGTCATCACTCACATTTTCCCTGATATTTATTACTTCTTTCTCTCTTTAATATGCCCTAGAAAAATGTAATAATATATACATTTTTCCGATGTGGTTTTACTTCTAAATTACAGATTCGTTACTTGTAGATGACCAGATATTTTTAAAGTAGAAAACATTTGAAAGATATAAAATTAAAAGCAAAAGTCTGGGCCATGTATTCCATTCTCCACTGTTATAAAGCCTTCAAAAATATTCCTCGCTCATGTAAGCACATTTCTATGCATGTTTGTGTGTATAAATCATATAACACACATATTATTATTACCGTTAATTAGGGTTCTGCCAAAAATAAATGGTATATGTATAGTGGGTAATTGAAAAGAGTTGAATAAAAGGACTATTCACAATAGTGAGAAATTGTGAGCAGGGTTTAAGAATAGCTACAAGGACTTGGGGAGTGCCCCTGAGCTAGTATTAATCTTTATGACTTCTAGGTCTGCAGGGGAAAGAAAGAAAGTTGTTTGTGGAATCTGGAGAGAAAACTTTGTAGAGAGGATGGCTGACAGATGCTGTGGCCTTTAGATGGATATAACCAAGCTATAGTCAAAGTAGGAAGGAGGCCAGAGGAATGAACAACCCCTGTCCTCACACCTCCTACCAGTACTCCCATTGGCTGAATCCAACCAGCAGCTACAAGGCAAAGGAGCCCATTGATGTGTCCATATGGACCAGCCTCCTGGGCAGGAAGGTGGAGAATGGTGGAGAATGTGGATCTCAAAATGATCAAATTCATACATACATATATGTGCATATATTCACACACTGCTTTGTACAGAGTCATGCTCTGTGTTCTTTCTTTGCAGTTTGCTTTTTATCATATAATGGTATCTTGCTGACTATTACATATTAGCGCACATTGATCAATTTTATTTTTTAATGGATGCATAGTATTCTTTTGTATTTTTATTCAGTAATTTATTTAACCAGTGCCATGTTGCTTTATCTTTCCTTTCCCTATTGCTTGGCATTTCAGAGGTTTTGGTATTATAAATAATACTGACATGAATGCAACATTATTTTAAAGGTAAACAAATCAATTTCAGGAGTCATATGTCCTAGAGCAATTCTGGGTCATCACCTTCAGAAACAAACTCAACATCTTCGAATTTGTTATGCATGAGTTTATTATACTTCATTTGGATTAAAAACAACAATAACAAAACCATACTGCAGTTGAAATTAGCTACGTTTTTTTGGAGTATGTTATAAAATCCAGCAAATCGGGTCCAATGAAACCTGGAATTTGAACAGATTTCCATGGAGACCCTGAGAAATATACTTTGTTTTAGAAACCTAGAAACCATTCTCTGGGTTTCGATTGTGGTGTCAACTACTTAAGCTCTTTGCTGATGTCTATTGTTTTCCCCCCTGAGTCTATAGATTAGATGTTAGTCAACCTCATCCAAATTAGAGGCATTTCTAAGTGAGTGCCTGCTTTGGATAAACAATGGATTGATGAATACTGAGGGAATGATATAATCTGTTGTTAAGGATATCTGATGAGGGGAGACACTGAAGAGCTGTAGGCTCATTGACCTGGCAAGGCTGTTGAATGCCAGTCATTATTGTGATGAGATCCTCTGATCTATATGTAGTGTCAGGCAATCTGTCATGCATGCCAAGAAAGAAGAAGCATGCTAACAAGAGTATCAGATAAAGAATGAGTTGCTTGTTGTTTTTGGTAAATATAACTATTCATGTCTGCATAGAGAAAAACCATTCATGGCTTCTGAAGTCACAGTAAGTAGTGATCCCTTAAAAAATTCCTCAGTATTGGTTGTCAAAGGTTGGTTCATTCCACTAACACTTGTCGAGTCCTTACTATGTGCCAGGTCCTATTACAAGCACATGCGATAAACTGAGAATAAAACAGACAAATCCTTGGTCCTTATGAACAGGGTACTAAACACAATCAAGAGGCTAAATAGAGAGTATGTTAGATGGTGATATGTGCTTAGAAGAAAACATAAGGCAAGGAGGAGGGATATGCAATGGAAATTTTAAGTAGGTGAGCTATAGGGCGACTAACTATAGAGGAAGTGAATTTGAGTAGAGACTTGAAGGAGGTGAGAGAACCAGCCATGTGGATATTGTGGTGAAACATATTCCAGATGGAGGGAACAATGACAAAAGGCCCTGAGACAGGAGCAGGTGTGTCATGTTTGAGGACCAGAGGTCAGCATGTTGGAACAGAGTGAACACTGGGACAGTGATTGAGGATCTGGTCAGAGAAATATGGGGTCCAAATTAGGTATGTCCTCAGAGGTCAACATACAATTTTGGCTTTTATTCTGGGTGCGAGAGAAAGAGTTTGGAAAGTTTTGAGAGAGTGGTCATCTGATTTGATCTTCATTTTAGTGAGATCTTTCTTTCTTTCTTTCTTTCTTTCTTTCATTTATTGGGGTGACATTTGTTAGTAAAATTATATAGGTTTCAAGTTACATTTTCATAATACATCACCATATATTTGACCCCCTTTTCCCTCTTCTACCACCCACCTCCCCCCTTACACTCTGGTAACCATTAAACCATTGTCTGTGTGTATGAGTTTTTGTTTCTTTGTTTGTTTGTCATGTTCATTTGTTGCTTTGAGTTTTATGTCCTACATATGAGTGAAGTCGTATGGTTCTTAACTTTTTCTGTCTGACTTATTTCACTTAGCACGATAATCTCAAGATCCATCCATGTTGTTGTAAACAGCAGTGTTTCATCTTTTCTTATGGCCAAGTAATATTCCATTGTGTATATATATCACATCTTCTTTATCCAGTCATCTATCAAAGGACACTTTGGTTGTTTCCATGTCTTGACCACCATGAATACTGCTGCAATGAATGTCGGGGTACATATCTTTATGGATAAATATTTTCATATTTTGGGGGGTATATACCTGGGCTAGGGATTGCTGGGTCATATAGTAATTCTATTCTTACTCTTTTGTGGCACCTCCATACTGTTTCCCATAGTGGCTGTTCCAATTTACATTCTACCAGCAGTATAAGAGGGTTCCTTTTTCTCCACCGCTTCTTTAACAGTGGTTATTATTTGTCTTGTTGATGATGGCCATTCTAACTGGTGTGAGCTGATACCTCATTGTGGTTTTGATTTGCATTTCTCTGATAGCTAGTGAAGTTGAGCATTTTTTCATACATCTGTTGGCCATTTGTATGTCTTCTTGAGAGAAGTGTCTTTTTCAGATCCTCTGTCCATTTCTTAATTGGATTGCTTTTTTGTTGCTGTTGAATTGTATTAGTTCTTTCTTTATTTTGGATATTAGCCCCTCATCTTCTCCTATTTGGTTGGTTGCCTCTTTGTCTTGTTGATGGTTTCTTTAGCTGGGCAGAAGCTTTTTAGTTTTATATAGTCCCATTTGTTTATTTTAGCTTTTATTTCCCTTCCCTTTGAGGTCAAATTCATAAAATCCTTTCTGAACCCAAGG